CAAGTTGTCACAACAATATTTATCTGAATTAAGTTGGTGGTTTTCGACAAAATAGTACAGTTAAGTAAATAAGTACCATAAAATGTGTTCAAAGGCACAAACTCATTTTTGAGGAATGCTTCATCTTAAAAGATTTTTAAAAAAATGGATAGGCTTTTGTTTCCTATCCCAAGTTAATGAGAGGGTTCAGCTTTCTTACATTCAACTATTAATTTGCATTTAAACAATGAATTTTTTTTGTGTTTACAGTTACTTAATTGCCAATTAATTCTGTTTACACTGCTTCAGTAAACTTTTTATTTACTTGATTTTATTTTCCAATATAAAATTATTTTGAGTACAACAGTAAGGACTCTTCATGGGTTTGACTACTGAACAAGAATAGGAATCTTTTTTTGTTAACCCTAGGGAAATACAGTGTTTGCATAATTTGGGTCACAGTTAAAGGCAAATAGCTATAATACTTTGATAACAGTCACTTACCAATTATTTTCACTTTCAGATTTTAAAGAGGTAATATTGATAAATGAAAGAGCTAATTATTTTCAGGTTAGTATGTCTCCAAACAGTTATCTGAAGTGTTCTACAAATGAAATAAATCATGAAGAATTGAGATGTTTGAGAACACTTCAATCAAATTTGTATGAGACTGCTTGGGTAAACTAAAGATGCTTTCTCTGTTTAATTTTTAACTTTTCTAAAATTATTTTGGGAAAAGAGAGTAGGTTTTTTTTTTAAAATATCGACTGCTTAACTTAGTAGACAGTAGAATACATTATAAGCCAAAATTATAAAATTAAAGAAAAAAATAAGACAGATGAACAAAATAAATAGCAAAAATTAATATTTTGCTTGAAATTTCTTTCCTATCTTCTCACTGTTATGTGTGAATATTGTTTATATCCATGCATATGATATCATTCAAGTAGCTTTTAAAAATAAATGCATTCATGCTATTTTGTAAGTAACATTAGAGTAACAGTGGTTTGGAAAATAAAAAGCTCTGTAAAGAAGGTTTTAGTTGCAATAAGAAAGTTTTTAAGAAAATAAGATCTAGGAAAACATAGAGTTAATTTGCACTTCATAAACATTTGAAAAAATGAGGCTATAGTTTTAAAATTTAAAGAGATGATTGCACAATTTCTTTTCAGAATTCTTAATAGTAAAAGAGAGCATGACAATCACTCTGGGATCATAAAGTACAAATGGGAGAATCAGTAACAATCACAAGAAATTGAGCAGAACAGCAGGTATGACATAATTAGGGTTGAAACAAGTTACTATCAGGACACAGCTTTAGATTCCACTGCCATCAATTATTTTGAAATGGGTAGTGTCTGAACAGCTCTTTCCTGATGCCAATTACTGTTCCACTCAGAATTTAGCCTCTTAACATCAATTGTCAGCATTTATAGAATAAGTTTATCAGGCTGGGCTGGCTCCCAGAAGAAGCTGCTGAGCCACGGGGGGACATGAAGATGAGACCCAGGAGTCCTGCAGCAGGAGCAATTTAGCATCTGAGTAACTGACCTTGGAGTTAAACATTTTAAGGGAAAGGAAAGAAAAATAGCACACATTGTACCAAATTTTACCTTTAGAACTGGTGGAAATTGAATTGATGGTGGAATTAAAAATATGGAGATGAGAAGGCCTCTTGTTTTACAGACTGGTTTTAATTATGTGCATATGAACCTGATGTTTTCCCTTGACTCTATATGTGTGTGTATGTGTGTGTGTGTGTCTAGGCTGGGGGGTGTTTGAGAGGTTTACAAAGGTTTTGTTAGGCAGGTTTAAAGTGCACACAAACACAAAATAAAACGCAAGACCTGAAGAGAGATGCGCTGTAGTCTGGGGTTGGGAATATTTGTTTGGTTTAGTGGTTGAAAGTCTGTGGAATTTATGAATCTATGCAAAGTTAAGGTGAAATGGGCAGGCCCAACTTACTATATTTTTAAGAATGAATGATCTGTTTTCCCTAAACACATTCTTCAAAACCTTTGAAGCTATTCCCTATCTTAAGGCAGGGTTTGTCCTTCATCTTTCAGCTAAGCTAATGTATGGATTGTAGTATCTCTAAGAGCTTTTGCGTTTGATGAACCTCAAAGATAAAGCAAACCTCCTGAGAAAAAAATATGGTATATAGATATGGATAACCTTGGGTGACTGTGTCTTGAAGTTGCATTCTTTTTTAAAGTACAATTTTATTTTGCTTTTATTTTTATTTTTGATTTCTTGAGACAGGATCTAGGTATGTAGTTTAGGCTGGTCTTGAACTCACTATATAGCCCAGGGTAGCCCTGAACATCCAATGATCCTTCCACCTCAGTCTCTCAAATGTGGGGATTACAGGCCTGCATCACCACTCCCAGCTAAAGTACAATTTTAAAATAATAATTTTCCTTACGTCTTTTCTACTTGACTTTATTTTTTCTATCCTATCTCACCTCCCCACTCTTGATCCTTTACTCTTAAGGGATGCATCCTCTTTGTTTCCCTCATCTGTCTAAATTGTATTCACCCTCAAAAACTATCCAACATGCTATCTCAATCCTTGTCTATTTCTCTTTATTCCATCTTTTACAAAGCAACTTCCCGAGCCCACCCTGACTTATAGTCCATCCAATTCCAGTTACCTTCTCTACTTGAATTATTCTATAGTACTGCATCTCTTCCTTAGCTCAGTAACAAGTTTACATGATAAAATACAATATTAATAAACTAAAATATGATATTCATTCCCTTTGTCTTTTACACTATGTGACTTGTTGAGACGTGTTTGTTATACCATTGAGCACTTAGAAATCCAAAATTAATCACTGAATGGAAGGAAGGAAGGAAGGAAAGAAGGAAGGAAGGAAGGAACAAAGGGAACACCCTTTCCTTTATACATATAGATTATGGTCAGTATGGATGGGGCATTAGTAGACAGTGTCAGAAACATAACAGAGGAAAACAGTTGTTTGGTGCACTTGGAAGCTCTACTGCACGAACCCAGAAACTCTATTTTCTGTAATTCCATGATACAGCTGGTTCATATATCCCAAGTTTGAATTTATGTGATACTTTTTAAAGTAGCTCTAAAAATACACTTGCAGCAACCTTTGAAGGAGCATTCCTACAAATCGCTTTTCTATCTATTATATTTCCAGTTAACAAGATTCATGAGAAAGTTGGCTTCCTCAGTTAAAATGCCAAAACAAATAAAAACACTTTTTCAAATCTATTTGCTCTTTTCCTTTTATTAATGCATAGTGATTTTCTTTTTCAGTTATTTAACTTCCTCTGAATCATATTTATAAAGTTTCCTTACAATTTTAAGGAAGGGTAGCATTTATTTTTTCCAGTTGCTTCATGCCATTTTCATGCACTGTGTTGAGATTTATTAAAGTGACGAAATGGGTGAGGTACACGTTGGTTAACAGAGCACAGGATAGATTGGTTGGTTGGCAGAATCTCAAAGGCCCAGTTGGGTGGGGGATGGTGTGTGTGCAGAGGTGGAGGAGGCATTGCTGGAAAGAATGAGAAATTGCAAAACAGCAAGAGACTGAGCCAATAAAAACAGATCAATTTAGACTCAGAATCAGACCTTAACAGTCAAAGGCCAAAAGCAAAGATTACGTGCTACCCTTATTTTGAACTTTTATGTGGGAATTTACCATAACATAATCTTAGTTTTTAGTTCTTAAAATATTTTGTATTTATATGAAGGCTGAAGAGTAGCATATTCGTTGCCTGGGTAAACTTAAATTTACAATTAGCAAGGCTTGCCTTAGCCTGTCTCTTAGTCTCAGAACATGCCTGGGGGAAATTTCTCTGCCTTGGTCCCTCTCTGTACCACTTCATCCAAGGGTTTACTCTATTCAGGAAGAAAGACCTCATTTTCCAGAATTTATCCATACTATTTTTACCCTCATCATCATCTATTTCCACCCTTACCACTAAACTTTTTGCAAGGAAGGTATGAGATTATAATCATTCACAGTAAATTATGAAGAGTACAGTAATACTAAATTTAAGTAGCTTAAAGTATTTATTGAGAGTATTTGTCATCCCGTGCAAATTATGTGTTAGTTGAATTTATGGAAACATCAACATGGAAAGTATTTTAGGGCAAGAGAGGATATCGAAAGCAATTGGGATAGTGCATAGCTCTAATCCCACCATATAGGTAAATAACCACAGTACTGCCTCTGAAAATTTGGGGTCTTGGGAGAGTATTTGATTACCCATCATGAGCTAGAATAGCAAACTTCCTCTGATGATAATTTTTAAGTTACTGAGAAATATTGATAGACTTAAATTTCATAATAAATTCAGAATGTGTTTTACTGAAACCAGAGAAAAAACTCTAACATTCACAATTACTGATCCAAAAGATCAATCTGAGAGTGTAAAACTTATATACAATCACAAGAAAAAAGAAACACATTGAAGAAGTTAGATGTTACAAATACTGCATATTCAATCGTGTTTCAAATTTGTATAATCTTTCTATTTTAATGATACAAATAATTCTTATGTATAAGACTTGTAAAACCATAAGAATAAATAATAAATTATTTTAGGAAGAGTTAAAGTTCAAGTTAGCATAAACCTGACATAAATCCAATCATATATGACTTAAAGGCTTTTGTGCACTATGTATATCCACATAGTTGGTAATACATTCACAAAAAGCATTTTGGGAACACTTCTAAGCAAACAGTTTATATTTTATGACAATGACAAAAGAAGTGACTATACTAGATTTTAGTTTTCAGAAACATTATTAAAACATTTTAAAAATTTTACATTAAGTAAAATTATGATGAATAATCAGATATGCCACTCAAATAGGCCAATTATATGCTTACAAATGTCAGAAACTACTCAAATACTAAGCTACTTAGACGATTAATTAAATCAGTTTTAGACAAAAATTACTGTGAAAAACATCATCAGAACATGTTTCATCATATAGTTATGGGGGAGAAAGAGTCTTTCTTGTTTACTGTTCTTACCTTCTGCTACACAAACAGTCCACAATATAAACCAAATAATCTTTTCTGGCAGCCTCATGCTTTGGATGTTTTAGGCATAAATGTACTCGCGGGAGAGATCTCACTGTCCAGTTCTTCTCTGCTAAAACTTGTGATTACTGCAAGAAAAATACTTGCTTGTAAAGGAAGTTGAGATACAACTTCCTCTAGAGGAAATAGGGGATTACCAGATGCTCCTCCCAGCAGAAGCTTTTGCAAAATAAATGGAAAAAACAAACGAGGAGCCCCAGCAGTGCCAGCTTGATCCAGATTCCTACTACACTCCCACTGAATGCTAATGCTCTGCTTCTGTTCTTTGATTTGTTCTTGTAAACCGAGGCATGTTCTCCTTTGGAATGAGCTCAAATTCTGTGGCATGTGCGCAGGAACAGCTGGCGTTGGGCTCTGGATTTCATAAACCCTCCAATTACTCAAACTATTCAGGCCTATTCTGTGTCAACCACGGAACAGAAAATAAGGCAAGTTCTTTAAAGAATCATTTACAGAACTTCAGTTTAAGCAATGTTTCCACAACCAACACCCAGACAATGTAAGCAAATTTTGCCAAGAGCATATCCTGTACTGGCTGACTGGGGACCTTGCTTTTCCAGGAAGACATGAAGTTAGCCTCCTAAAAATTGTTTATGCATGTGGGTGGAGCAACTGGCTCAAGAAATTGAAATGCTGACTTCTTAAACTTTGTACTGAAGTACAATATGTGTAGAAAAAAGTAAGCAAGTGATTTGCTGAATACTGAAGTTAAGACATTCATGTGACAAATAACTGGGTCAAGTCCTGGTCAAAGTCAAGACCTCTGTCTCCCAGAAAACTTCAGTTGTACTGTCTATCAGTCTGTGCTCTTCCCTTCTCCTACATGGGGTGACTGCTAGCCCCATTTTCAAGAACATGAGGTTTGGGATACTTTTTATAAATGGAAGAGAAGTTATTTATTCATCTGTTTATGGTCTTCCAGTAAAAATTGTGTTTGGGATAGTCTATCACTCTGTTGGATACAATTAAAGACTGCTAATTTTTTTCTGTTTCTGAAATTGAACTCAGGACCTTGCACTTGCCAGGCAGGTGCTTGTGTCACTGAGCTATATCCCTAGCCCGATTGCTAATTATTAAATCAATATAACATTCCATTTTGAATATGTCACATTTTTATTTATATATGTGCTGTTTATGGCTGTTTGGGTAATTTCAGTTTGGAGCAAATACAGATAGAGTTGCTGTGAACGTTAAATTATGTGGGTTTTGGTATATATGTGCACACATTTCTGGTGAATATATATCTAGGAGTGAAATATTAGGACATCATTTTTGTTTAGGTGCAAAAGATAACATCAGCCAGTTTTCTGCACAGGTTGTACCAATTGATATACCCATCAGCAGCATATGAGTTGCTCCACATACTCAAAAACACTTGGTTATGTTAGTCTTTGCCATTTTGAATAACTTCCATATACTAATTAGTCATCAAAAGTCATTGGTGGACCGTTTATTCAGGTATTTTGCATATATTTTCTATAGTGTTATTTTTCACTTATTGCATTGTAGAAATTCTCTACTTAGTCTAGAGAAGAGAACATTCAGGACAAATGTAGTATAGATACTTTTACTCTGTCTTTGTGTTGTTGGTTCACTCAGTGTTACATGGTGTTATGGCTTGTATCAAGATGTCCCTTCAAAGCCTCATGCAATTATAGATGGGGCTTTTCAGAGGTGGCTGGATCTAGGATGTATGGTGCTAGGACCTAGGATTAATGGTACAATTGGACAAGTTGTAAGGGACAGGAAGAAGCTTGTTGCTTGTCACTGGTTGCTTGCTACTTTGCTGTCTTCTGCCTGCCATGGACTGTTTCACCTCTGTGATGCCCTTCTTCCATGCCACCCTGCAGTGGAGCCAGCCAGCTATGAAATGAAACCTCTACAAAGTGTGAACTACAATAAACCTTTTCTCTCACTTTAGGTGTTCAGCATTTTGTCTCAGCAACAAAAAAAGTAACTAAGACACATGGAATTCAATAAACAGAATTAACTTTAAGATAATGCAAACTTTTAAAAAAATTTTCTTAATTTTATTTTAAAGAGAGTAGTACAGAAGAAACAAACAAACAAAAAAATAAAACAGTAGCAGCATACCAGTATCACGAACATAAACAAATCAAAGCAAAAACATTCAAAGTGATACAGGGCCTCAAGAAAAATTAATACAAATCAACAGTGGTTGTTACATTGCATATCGCTATCCTGAACTACATTGCTCAGATTATCAGATGTAAGAACAAAAGATTTCTCAAACCATTAAAGAGAATTAAAAAATAATTCTTTGATAAAACAGTGATAATACAGTGTTTAACTAGACAAGATGGTAGGAGTTCATCATTGTAATTCCACTGCATATAGTTACCTTCATACCAGTTGCTCAGACCACCAGACAAGCATGCAAAGTCGATCAGAACATAAAAAATTGTGAGCATTAACTGTTTATTTCAAAACACCATCAGACAACAGCAATACAGTCATCACAGCTATTCATGTATATACTTATGTTTTGCCTTTCTTCTTTCTTTTTTCTTCTTTCCCTCATCTCAGTCATTCCTTCCTTTGAGCAATTTCTTTCCCCTTCCTATCATCTATTGTATGTTTGGAGTTTTACCTAGTCTTTCAGGTTCCTACACCAAGGAGACAATATGATGTTTACACATGTGGGTCCGATTTATTTCACTTATGAGTATGGTCTCTAGTTGATAATGCAAACTTTTAATCATCTTCTATACTTAGTACATTTGTGTCCTTCTTACAGAAGCCTTCCTTATCTCAGATCAGTAGGTATTGTCTCTGAAAGCAGTATTTTCTGTTTCATGTTTAAGACCTCCAGCACAGCTATACTTGACTCTTGTGCATGATACAATAACGAGCTCCAGGCTCATTTTAGAAATATGAGCATACAAATTTTCTAGCACTGTTTTCTGAAAGAATCATTCCTTTTCATTATTTTAAAGAGAAAAAACCAATAACAAAATAACAACCACATAGACAAAAACAAAACAACACAAAAACAATAAAAAAAGATATAGGGTCTCAAAACAAAATGACAGGAGTTAACAGTGGTTATTACATTACATATTGTTATCTTTAACAAAGTTGCTCAGATTACCAAATGCAAGAATGCAAGATTGAACAAACCGTTAAAGGGAATAAAAGATAATTTAAAAAACATCAGAAACAATACAGAACTTCACTAAACATGATGGTAGGAATTCAACAGTGGTTGTTATATTGCATAATGTTGTCTTCAAATTAGCTGTTCAGATTACCAGATATAAGCATACAAAATTAGTCAAAGAAATTTAATAATTAACTGCCCCTTTCAATAAACCAATAGACATTAGAAGTACAATTATCCCAGCTATCCTTCTATATACATATATATTATTTTTGCTTCCATCTTTGTTTCTTTTCTCCTTTCCCTCATCCCAGTTGTTCCTTCCTTTGAGTAATTTCTTTTTCTTTTACAATATCTCTTGTGCCTTTCAGTTTTATTTACTCATTCAGGATCCTATGCTAGGGAAACAATATGATGTTTACATATGCAGGGTGATTTATTTAACTTATGAGTATAGTCTCTACTTAGATCCATTTACCTGTAAAAGCCTCGAGTTTATCTTCCTTTATGGCTGAGTAATACTCTATTGTATAAAAATACCACATATTTTTTATTCATTCCTCAGTTGTTGTGTGTTTGGGTCATTTCCAAGATTTAGCTATGACAAACTGTGCTGCTATAAATGTGGGTGTACATATATTGCTTTGGTATGATGTCTTTAAATCTTCTGGGAAAATACAGAGTAGGGGAATAGCTAGTTTAAGAGGGAGATCTAATCCCAGTTTTGTGAGGAATCTCCACACTGATTTCCACAGTGGTTTCCCCAGCCTACACTCACACAAGCAGTAAAGAAGGGTTCCTTTTTCCCCACAGTCCCTCCAGCATTTGTTATCGGTTGATTTCTTGATGATAGCCATTCTTACTGGTGTGAGATGGAATCTCAGTGTTGTTTTAATTTGCATTCTCAAATGACAAACTATCTTGAATAATTTTTCATATATTTATTTACCACTTGTATTTCTTCATCTGAGAAGTATGTATTCATCTTAATGTCCATTTTTGGATTGGGTCTTTTAATTTTGGGGGCCTGATTATTTTAAATTCTTTATAGGTTCTACATAGAAGTCCTTTGTCTGAGGGACAGTCAGCTAAAATTTTTCCCAGTTTGTGCTTTTCTTTTTAGTCTACTGCTGATTTCTTGTGATGTGCCAAACTTTTTCAATAAGAAGAGATCCCAAATGTTGATTTTTTGAAGTATTATCCATGCAATTTGTTTTTTGTTCTTGAACTATCTGCCTACCTTTGTCTCTAAGATTTCTACCTACTTTCTCTTCCAGTAGATTTAGTCTTTCAGTTTTAATATTTAGACCTTTGATCCATTTGGCCTTTAGTGAATGGTGATAGACCATTCTAGTCTAGTTTTAGTCTTCAGCATCTGGAACACCAGTTTTTTCAGAGCAGAGTCTAGTTTTAGTCTTCAGCATCTGGAACACCAGTTTTTTCAGAGCAGAGTCTAGTTTTAGTCTTCAGCATCTGGAACACCAGTTTTTTCAGAGCAGAGTCTAGTTTTAGTCTTCAGCATCTGGAACACCAGTTTTTTCAGCACCATTTATTAAAGAGGCTATCTTTCTTCCAGTGAACATGTTTGACCCTCTTGTCAATGATAAGGTGGTTGAGTATGTTCCTAGTTGTGTAGGTATCTTCTATTTTGTTCCATTGATCCTTGGGTCTGTTTTTTTGCCAGTACCATGCTGATTTTATCACAGTAGCTTTGTAGTACAATTTCAAGTCAGGGATTGTGATGCCTCCTGACTTTCCTTTGTTGCCCAACATTGCTTTTCCTATTCTAGGTCTTCTCTTGTTCCAGATGAATTTTAAGGTATGCTTCCTCTAGATCTGTGAAGTATACTAATGGCATTTTAATTGGAATTGCCTTGAATCTGTGCAACAATTTTGGGAGTATGGCCATTTTCACAATGTTGGTTCTTCCTATCCATGAGCAAGGAATATCTTTCTATTTTCTGAAATCCTCTTCAATCTCTTTTTGAGAGTACTATAATTTTCATTGTATAGATCTTTTACTTCCTGTGTTAGATTGATTTTTAGGTATTTCATGTTTTAGATGCTATTATAAAAGGTGTGATTTCCCTAATTTCTCTCTCAGTCTGTTTGTTGTTTGTGTACAGGAATACTATTGAATTTTGAGCAGTTACTTTGTACCCAGCAATGACACTGAGTTTGA